CAGTCTCAGGGTTGAGGTAGCTTGGGGCAAAAAGAGCATGCCAGCCAAGACGTCGTGCCTTGTCGCTGGCCCTGCCGATGAAGTCCGCACTGATGCCGACCTCCTGCGCACAAAGGAGAATCGCCGAGCTCTCGCGCAAGCGCCGCTTGAGCGTGGCCCAGCAGGAACCGTTGAAACTCTCAACCGGATACTGCCCAATCTCAGTATTGGACCTGGACGGGGCTCCCTTCAGAGGTGGGACGGGAGCACCTGTGCAGGAGAGAGGAATGCCACAACACTTGGGAGCTGGGCCGTCGAACATAGTGTCACCCACACTTTTGTTTCTTGGCCTGAACACCCAACTGCTCGAGGAGATCTCCGAAGGCACGCTTATTATCTTCCTCTGACCTGGCAGCTTCGATAAGTTTGTCAATGCCTTCATCCGAAATATCTTCCAAATCTGTGTCCATGGGAGTGGGGGTGTTCTCACCCCCGTCATTTCCACTGGCCCCTGGAGTACCAGGGCCACCAGGGTCCCCTCCCGAACCCACTGGGGCCGAAGGAGGGGGAGGAACTTGGGCTGCCCGAGCCTGGCACTGCTGCTCGAACAACTTCTGGTATTCGGCGAACAGCGGGGAGGCCATGAGCTGCTGCACCTCAGGCTTGTCCTTGACCGCGTCCGCGTCCAGGACACATGTTGGCACCGCACTGGTCGGGGCCACCTGCGCCATGGTAGACTGGAGCTCCAGCTTGGTGGCTTCGATCTCCACTCTGACCAGCTTGGCTTTCTCCTCCATCTTCTGCAGCTCAGCCTGAGCCGCCTGGATGAGGGCCTGCTGGGTCTTGATATCCTCGTCGAGGCGCTCCAGCTTGGCATTGGACCTCTGCAACTTGTGGCCCAGCGCCGTGTGGCGCGACAAAGAAGGCTGTGTAGAATTGAACTCCTTGCGCGCATCAGCCAGCTCCTTCTCCATGGCTTGATTGATGGCGACAGGGAACTGTTCATCGCTTCGAATCCCTTGGAGGGTGTTCTCCAAGGACTTGATCTTGGCAGACAAAACTTTGGTGACCTCGTCACTGGCCATGTCAGCGCCTCCTCCATCTGCAGCATCTGGTGGTGCGCCTGCGGGCTGTGGGCGGTTGCCCGCCTGCTGGCCGAATTGCTTGACGAGGGATTCCATCTGCTTCTGCAGCGCACTGATGGATCGCACCGATGAGTTGGAAGCATCCTGCGGAGACTACGAGCCCAAGCGCCACCAGGAGCACGAGGTGGCTTGCCACGGGGGGGCGACTGGAGCTCCGCTGCTGCTTTCTTAGCCTTGTCGATGATTGCCTGCGGGGCCTTCTTCCCGCACAAGCACTTGATGCGGCACGCGAAGTTGCTGTTGCGCCCGCAGGATGGACATCCCCACATAGGCGCCTTCGGGCCTGGTAGGACATCAGGGTCTTGCCCCATTGAGGAGGAGGAGAGGGAGGAGGAGGAGGAGGAAAGGGAGGAGGAGGAGGAGGAGGAGGAGGAAGAGGAGGAGGAGGAGGAGGAGGAGGAAGGAGAGGAGGAGGAGGAGGAGGAGGAGGAGGAGGAGGAGGAGGAGGAGGAGGAGGAAGAGGCAAAGGCACTGGCCAAAGGCGCATCGGGGGCTCCCCGCGGGCTCCCGCCGCAACGGACCCCGCCCCCGCGGACGGCACGGGGGCGGGGCGGCGGCCGCGCCTCCCGGGGACCGCCCGGGGCGCCGCCCGGGCCCGTGCAGAGGCCGCGGGGCAGGCGTGCGGCGGGCCCCGCCGCGGGAGGGCTCCTCAGAATGGTCGTCCTCTCGGGTCGGGCAAAAGGGGGGGATAGCAAAGGGGGGGTTTGAGAATCAGCTCGCGTAGCTGATTTTCCCGGCGCCTCCCGGCGCCGGGAGGCGGCCATGTATCGAGGAACGGGCCCCTCGGCGAGGCCGAAACCAGCTGCATGCAGCACATTTCGCAACCCCCCCTTTCCCAATCCCCCCCTTTCGCCCAGCCCGAGAGATCAGGGAGGGACGAGCACATGTGATTTGCAATGCCCCTGGGGGTTTCGTCAACCCCGGCGGGCAAGTGGTAGAGCGGATCCTTCTTCTGAAAAAAAGGAAAAGGAAAAAAGAACGTGTCATGAGAGCTGAGGTGTGTGGAGCCGTGCGGCGCACTGGATTTTGAACGAGCTGCGGCGTGCAAGCTGGGTGGTGTCCTTTGTGGCGTGAGCCAATTCGGGTACGCACAGTGCGCCCACGAGGCGCTCACCAGTGGCCACGTGTTGAGCACGGACCGACCGTCCCGGCGTTTCTATAGTCCTACCACGAAATGTTCCTAGAACCCAAAAGTGTTCTAAGAACAACAACAATGTTCTCAGAACAAATCCCCAATGTGTCAAAACAAGACATTCCCAACCAGACATGTTCTAAGAACAGCTCGTGGGAACCACAAAAGGCTCTTAGAACACTGTTTGGCAGGACTATAGGCGAGCCAGGACGCTTCGCCTCTGCTTGACACCCGCGGCCAGGTGGCGACTCCTCGGCACGCCCACCCGGGGCACGGGGCGCCCAGCACTAATTTTCGACGAAACATTAAAAATACCCCAACAATAATCAAAACATGGTCCACAACAAAATGCCCCAAAATAACGAACACCCCCACAATAATCAAAAAATAGTCCAGGAATCGTCTGGGGATAAATTTTTAATGTCTCAACCACCTGGGGAAGAGCGTCCTTGTGGCTGCCTCATTGCCAGTATGTAGCGGGCACCTCTTCTGGGTGAAAGGGCGGGCACCAGTGGCCACGTGGCGACTCCTCGGCGCGCCCACCCGGGGCACCGGGCGCCCACGGGGCGCCCACGGGGCCAGGCAGCGCGGCGGAGGCCCAGCGGACCCCCCCCCCGCGCGCGGGGCGCCCGCGAGGGCGCCCGCGAGGCGTGGGAGCTCGGCGGGAGCTCGGCGGCTCCGCCCCGGCGCACGGGGCGCTCCAAGGGGCGCCCGACGGAGCGGCGGCGGTGCGCGACGCCTCGGCGGGCCCCCTCCTCCTCCTCCTCCTCCTCCTCCTCCTCCTCCTCCTCCTCTCCTCCTCCTCCTCCTCCTCCTCCTCCTCCTCCTCCTCCTCCTCCTCCTCCTCCTCCTCCTCCTCCTCCCCCTAGGTACGCCGGGCCGGGACGCCTCGCCGCTGCTTGACAGGCAGGCAGGGGGCCACACGCGAACCCTGCCCCTCCCCCCCACAAGATTTCTGAGGGGGAGGGCGGGGTTCACTTCGCTCGGGAGCTCCCGAGCGGAGTGACCCCCCCCACCGTTCCCCTCAGAAATCGTGGGGGGTAGGGGGGTGGGGTTCGCATGTGGCCCCCTAACAAGCAGGAGCCCCACTGTCTGCAATTGTGTGTTCTTGTTTGGGCAGGCGTGTAGCATCGCAGCAGTCGTGGGCACGATCTGAAGGCTGCGTGGCAGCCCCATGTGCGTGTCAATGCGAATGTCGAAGTGTATCAGAGTTGTCATTTGATCGCGAGTGAGTTTGGATAAGTATCGACTTACATATCCAGTCGCGTATCGGTGAGCAGGTCAAATTGGAATTCGATGCGCTTGTAACGTCACTTAGCATTTCGAAGTGCGCTCCGAATGTGTGTTCGCAATTCGATCCGCATTTCGAAGACGATTCTACGATCAGATCAATACCATTTCGATGTGCAATGTGACTGAAACTTCGACGTGCAGATAGATGTGCGTTTCGGTTGCAGTGCCGTGTATGATGTCCGAGATGTCGATTGAATTGAAATTCGATAAGCAAGTTGACGCAGGCTGCGTTGCATTCCGACTGCAGCGTGATGTGCGTTTCGATCTGAATATTTCCATTGGGGCAACCACGAACCTAACCGCAGAACAATATGCGGGACAACCGCGGGACAGCCACAGAACAACCACGGGACAACCAACGGGACAACTCACGGGGCAACCGCGGAACAGCCCGCACAAATGTACAGGACAACAGACGGGACAACCACGACACAACCCACGGGGAACTCGTGGGACAACCAACGCACGGGACAACCACTGGACAGTCCACGGGACAACCGCGGCACAACCTCGGCGAGGCACCATGGGACTGAAACAGAAACTTGGCGTACGACTTGACCCTAGGCTTGACCGGCATATCACCACCCTCGCACAACTGTTCCTCGCCCGCACACGCGACGCATCGAAGCCGGCAAGAGAGGCGCCGTCGCGGTTTGTGGGGAGGGGGGGTCCAACATCAACACAAGAAATCTGCGTGTGCATCCGCAAGTGTATGTCCGTATCGTTGTTGGATGTCGAGAAGATCAGTCTTCAATGCCGAGGAGGATAACGGCATTCGAAAGCAGTTCCAGACCCCTCCTGAGCACAGCCTTGACGAATGTCCGAGTCATGTCCAACCTGTCCAACGTCCGGCCTGGCGACAAGGGGGGCCCTGGAGGGCCAGCGTATATCCGCCCGCACCCGTTGGAGCATCCAAACGCCCGGGAAAAATCACTGCAAGAGCCTCACAAGCGGGGACCCACGAGCCACATGCGCAGTCTCGCCGAACACGGATGCCCACCCGCGGTCGTCCTCTTGCACCGCCGCCCCTGGATGAGCCCCTGGATGCCCACTCTAATGAAGGCCCTAGTGGCACCTGGAGGCTGCCGGAGGCTTCAATACCGAGGCCTGGGATTTGCTGCTCTTGGAAGCCCACGGGGAAACCCCCGCAGGCGGCTCAAGGCCTGCTCGTATCCCTCGACAACTCCTGGATGCATTCCTGAAGGCCTCGTTGACGCCCGTGCCCAGAAAGCCAGTGGCCGCCGCCCCTCACGAAAAGCATGCAGGCCAGTAAGACAGCCTGCTGGTGGCCACGCCCGGAGACCATCCAACGCGTGTCCCCGCAGTCATCGGGGCAGGCTGTGTCACGCCGCAAGCCGTCCGAGGTGCACAAGCAAGCGCCAGGCCAACAGAAAGGCCCGGGCCTTGAAACAGTCATGCCGGCGGCGAGAAAGTCGACAGGCCCCCCGCGCCTGTCTCGCTCGTCGACGTCCTCTGAGGCAATCTCGCTGGCCGCGGTTGACGGCATCCGCGTGCTGGCCCAGGAGATCTTGTGCTTGACCTGCCAGCGCAGCGGGGCGAGCCCTACTGGGGCATGCGACCAGTGAGGGGAAAGGACAAGGAACAGGGTACCATGACAGACGAGATGGTCTTAGGCATGGAGCTCATGTATGTCCACAGCCCCTCGGTCCAAAATCTCTGGCCGCAACCCCATGGATGTAGGGGCGCATCTGCGAGGATGCCTCGCCTGGAACGCAGCACAAAGATCGCACCTCTGTCGGATTGTGACTCTCGGAGTCCAGACCGCGAGGGTGTGCATGTGCATGTTCGTGGCTCGTGAGAGGGGGAGGATGAGGAGGAGGGAGGGGCCCTGGGACACACAAATAAATACACACAAATAAACAGATTCCCCATATTTCCCTATATTTTTGGGGTTTCTGTCTTCCCCCCCACTGCCCATATTTTCCCATCTTTTCTGGGGAATCGACGATCAATTGTGTCTGTGTGTTTTTTCTCCTCCTGAGATGAGGAGGGAGGGGGGAGGCGGAATGCTGCCCCGACGCCCCCCTGCGACTGCCGTGGCCCTGGAGCGGCGAGACCCACCGCTCCCCCCTGCGCAGGCGTGGCCACGGCGCCTGGTCGGAGCGGAGCACGCAGTCGGACCCGCCAGTGCAGGCGGTCTGGGGAACGCGCGCCGGGGGGGGGGGGGAGGAGGGAAGCCAAGGAGGAGGAGGAGGAGGAGGAGGAGGAGGAGGAGGAGGAGGAGGAGGAGCCAAGGAGGACGGAGGTGAGGAGGGGTGGGGAGGAGGGGTCTGGAACAAAAAAGGGTTCACTGGCCCGTGCCCACACCTCACCCCCTGGGGGGAATGTCGCCGGGAAGCCCAGGGAGAGAGCGGGGATGACCCAATGTGTCCCCTCTTCTCCATGGGACTGTCCTCAGCCGCATGGCGGCGACCGTGGCGCGGGAAGCTGGAGGAGGCTGAGCGCCGCGGCCAGACCCGCGCCCTCGCTTCCGTTTCTTCCTCCCCCCTACTCCTTCCCCCTCCCGCAACGGCTGTGCCAATGCGCCAGGCCGCGTGAATTTGAACTTTCCTTCTGCCTCTTCATGGGAGGAGGTGAGGGTCGCCGGACCCGTTGTCGAACCCAGACTTCCGACGCCAAGGCAAATCACAACAGGCGCTGTCGACCCCGCGGGCATACTGTTTTTTCTAGCCAAATCCATCTAGGACTCCATGCGGGCTCCAGGGTCTGGAGCGTGGGCCGAACTGCTCGTCGCGGAATTGTTCACAACGCCCGGATGTCAAGTCTCGCCTCTTCCTGGAAAGATGGGAGGGTATGGGTAGTAGTCCTTGCCGGCGAAGGTCAGCTCCTCCTCCTCCTCCTCCTCCTCCTCCTCCTCCTCCTCCTCGTCCTCATCTATTCCCCCGCATTCGTTGTCCCACTCCTCCTCCTGGGGCTCCTCCTCCCTCTTCTGCTTCTCTGTCCTTCTGGGCCCCCCCTCTCCCCTACCTCCTCCTCCCCATCGGACGTCGCCAAACCGCCTCCCTCCATGACGACCGCCTTCCTCCCAGGACGTGGTGCAGGGAGGAGGGACCCTCGTGGGTGAGCATGAGAGGTCGACACGGCCAGTCTGCCAGCGACGATTCAAGGCGCTCCTCGTCCTGCCCTCGTCCTGCCCCTTACTCCCATCCCCTCTGCGCTCCCTCCATCCATCTCCACTCCCTCCCCTCCTTATCCACCCCCCTCCACCACCCACTTCCCCTTCAGTCCACCCGACCCATCCATCTGGATCCCCCCATCCGCCCCCTCCTGCCCCCTCCAAGGGGCGACATTCTGGTCCATCCCCACCCCCCTCTCCGCCCGCCCCCTCCGCCCACGGCGGGCCAACGAGGCGTCTACAGACCTGCGACGACGTGCTTTGATCTGACCGCGGCCCCGTGAGCGCCCGACCGCTTCCACGGAGGGCTGCCCTTCCCCGAAGCCGACATTAGAGGCCTCCTAGATGGGGTCGGAGTAGATGGGGTCGGCGGATCACGCCGCATCGCCGATACATCGCCGATACATCGGCGATGCATCGCCGATGCATCGGACATGCACTGGTGACGTCGGCGATGCCTCGGCGACGCTGGCGTGGAAAAACTTGGGCCCCACATCGAGCCGCATCGCTGACGCATCGCTGATGCATCGGCGATGCGGCGCGATCCTCCGACCCCACCTACTCCGACCCCATCTAGGAGACCTGGAGACATTGCTGGCCCCCGGTGTCCGACGAACGACCCCCGGAGGCCGAGACAGAGGAAAACGGACACCGCGGCTCCAACAGGCTGTCCTGCCGGACCTCTCTCGGGGAGGAGGAGGAGGAGGAGGAGGAGGAGGAGGAGGAGGAGGAGGAGGAGGAGGAGGAGGAGGAGGAGGAGGAGGAGGAGGCCATGGCGGGGGCGCGGGCGCCTCGGCCGAGGAGTCCGAGTCGCGGCGCTCCGCCGGGCCCGTGAGGCCGGCCACGCCCGCGAGGCTCCCCACGGGCTGCATGGGCGGCCACGGGCACGGCGCCTCGCGGGAGGGCGGCGACGACGCCGACGACGAGGAGAGAGAGGAGGGGAGCTCGAGGATCGAGCGTGGCGTGCGGAGGTTGCCGGGCGTTGCTCGCTCTTTCTGGGCCCATGGGGGGCTTCTCGTCGCAGAGGCTGGACTCCCCACGAGAGCCTTGTCAGAACGCCGCCCTGGGTCTGGGGGGAAGGAGGATGACGAGCTAGCTGCACTCACGCCACATTGGAAAACCTACCTGCACCTCCCGCTCCCGCCCATCCCTTCTCAATGCATGAGCGCCCCTACAATCCGCCGAGCGGACTATACAAGACCTTGACCCCAAAATGCAAATGCAGGATTGGCCAATCGTTCAATGTGCAATCGGCAGGGGAGGGCTTTTGCACACTGGAGGAGGAGAACGACGAAAGGGAGGAGGAGCAGCAGCAGCAGCAGCAGCAGGAGCAGGAAGTGCAGGAAGAGAAGGGGAAGGCGAAGGAGGGGACTGGAAAGGGGCGGCCACGACGACAGATGGAAATCATGTCCAGGAGTGCGATCGGCGCTGGGGCGAGACCGCCATCTCGAACGATGGAGACCAAACGACACATGAAGAACGAACAGGGTAAGGGCCAAGGGCCATGCACGCGAGAGAGAGAGGCGGGGAGCGGACACGCCGCAGCAACGAGAGCGATAAATCAGAGAGCACAGGGGCAGGGAAGAGATCGGGCGAAACGGCTCGCGGGGGGCACGCTGTCCGCCCTTCCCTCCGAGCAACATTGCATCCACGGCGGGTCGTAAACCAGTGGGACGCGCCATCATCCGCCACTTCGTGCCTACGGCACGAAGTGGAGTGCTCCAAGGCTCGTGCAGCACTGAGAGGGCTGTGCTGCTGCTGCTGCTGCTGCAACCAGAGCTGTTCAATCCGCCGAAGGCCCGCACCAACCACTTCCCGGGCCGGCCCAGGGCCGGCCCAGGGTCTGCCAGGCTTCGCTCGCGTCGGCCGACCCCGCTCAGGAGGGCTCCACGACGAGCCCAGATGACTCCAAGAGGGCCCCCAAAGTGGCGAAAGAGGGCCCCAGGTCGCCCCAAGGTCGCTCCAGGGCGCCCAAGATGGCCTCAGAATGGCCCAAGAAGGCCTCCAAGACGCCGCAAGAGGTCCCCAGAAGGCCTCCCAAGAGGGCCCCTGAAAGGCACAAATCATTGATTTTCCTCCCAAGGTTTTTGTAAGATGTTGACCTTCTCGACTGTTCGGCTTTCCGACGCTCCCAGACGGCCCAAGAAGCCCCCAAGACCACCCCAAGACGGCCCAAGAGGCCTCCCTCCAAGAGGGCCCCAGGTTGGCGCAGAAGCGCCGAACGACGGCCCAAGAGGCGCCCGAGACGGCCCAAGAGGGCCCCCGGGAGGCCCCGAGAGGCGCGGCCGCACGATGCCCCCAAGAGGCCCCCAAGAGGCCCCAAGGGGCCCCGAAGAGGCCAAAAAGGAAGCCTCAAGAGGCCCAAAAGGCTCCCAAGAGGCTTCAAAACTGCCTCCAAGAGGTCCCCGCAAGGCCCCCCCACGAGACCGCCACGAACATCCAATAGGCGTTATACCCACCACGCAGGCACGGCGGCGGGAAAGGCCGACGACCATTAGAATCGGTTGCAATCGCATCAGGGGGGCGTAAGACCCGGGTACAGGGGACTCGGAAATCCCAGACGAGGTCGTCAAACAAATGACGAGGCCGAGCCTGCATTTTGACGAGGCCTCCCCTGCAGACGTCCCACGAAACTCCTACTCGTCAAAATCCGAGGCGCGGTCGTCAAAAAACGATGGCGAACCCGAGTCCTGGCAAACCCGGGTCTTACGCTCCCCCGATCGCACGCGTAACGATCGTGCTCAGACCAAGGCCGTGTCCTCTCTGGCCAGGGGCGAGCCGAGTCGGGCACCGCAGGAGTGCACAGGAAAGGCAAACGCGTCAGTCATGCGGCGGACCCTGGCAGGCGCCAGACGCGAGGCAAGGCGGCAACTGCAGCAACGAAACGAGCGGACAAGGAGAGGAAGACAAGGGGAGGGGGGAGGACGACCGGCCGACCGACGAATACACAAACACACACTCACAAACACACACACACACACGCACACACACACACACAAACACACACCAAGGTCGCACGCGGCGGCGCGGCGTAGGGCAAGTCAGGCGAAGAGCAGCGCATACGCAGACACACACATACAAACGCACACATACAAACACAGTCAGGCGTCGTCTCAGATGCCATGCAGCGGCCGGCGCAGTAGACACGAAGCAGGCCGCGGCAAGCGCTGGCTAAACCACTGAGTCATACTTCTACGTGCACGCAATATTCATATTTCTGCCAGTCACGACATCAGCACCACACCCTGAACATCTGATCGGCTACACCGCGACTTATCATTCACTGTCACGGAGTACCTTTCGTCTCCCCATTCGTCTCCCTCGGTCTCTCGTTACTGACTACGCTGCTCGCATGCATCTGGCCACAAGGATTCACCAAAAGGACGAGAAGGCTACCCGAGTAGACCACCAGACGCATTTCCCAACACCAGATCCCAGCGACACGGACACTAGCGCGCGGCAGTGCACAGGGCTACAAAGCTAAGGTTAGCGGGTGCAGCAGAGCTGCGGGGTGGAGGGACGCGCAGAACTGGGATGTGATGGGGGGGCTGGAGCCCGACGGCCAAATACGCAGAGGGAGGGCCTCTGCAGGCGGGGTGTGGGAATCCCCCTCCTCCCAAAAATGCGCTGGCAGCTTGCGATCATGCACCTGAGCTTTCTGATACCCAAGCCAGACAGAGGAGGCTGCGGAAAGGCGTCTCCTCTGGCGCAGCAGGCACCCGAGGCTGCGGCACGAACACCTGGCGGCTATGCGAGCAGAACTTGCAGCCGGAACCCGCAGCAAGGAAGAGCAAATCAAGCAAAGTGCAACCCGTCCTGCGAATGTGAACGACAACACCTGCCTAGGTGCGCTTCTGGGTGATAAGATGGGCTGCCCTCTTTCATCCCACCAGCCCTCTGGGCGTCGGCGGTGGTTTAGGGAGTTTCCTCTTCTTCCACCCCTCCTTCGTCCCCTTCGGGGAGGGGTTTACCCCTCCACAATTACTCAATATGAATACTACTCTCCCTCTTCCCCTGATGGCGTGCTGGGAGTGGCCGACCCCCCCCCCGCGTACTGTTTGTTTACACACAAGATTCCCGGGAGTTGGGTTTTCGCATGCGTTTTTTTTCCAAATGCTGCTCTCGCTGAGGCGCCGGCCTCATTTCTGCTCCCGAATCGTTCCGAATCGTGCTCCCGCTGCAGCGTGGGCCTCATTTTCGGATCGGTGTTTGGCCTCCGTCGTTCAGGATGGCGTTCTCGCCCCAGCGCGGGCCTCTTTCTCGCGCGCCCATCCGCCGCCACCAGCACCAGCACCACCACCAGCACCACCACCACAACCACCACCACCACCACCACCACCACAACCACCACCCGCACCAACACCACCACCACCACCACCACCACCACCAGCACCAGCACCACCACCACCACCACCACCACCACCACAACCACGCACACACGCACGCACGCACGCACGCGCACCACCACCCACTACGCACGCGCGCGCGGAGCCACAGGTCCGCTACGACACGCGTCCGCGGATAGAGAAAATCAGCGCCATGGTAAGGGATGGGAGGGAGGGGTAGGACGTCAGATATGACGCGAGCGCACCTAGCTTGCCCTACCCCCTCCCCGTGGACCTGGACGGGAGGGGCCGCGAGGTGTCAGAGCGTCCAAAACGGCGTCGGCGAGGAAGCCAAAATCATTGATTTTACATTGGGTTTGGGGCCCATTTTAGCCTCCTGGGGAGGCGAGGCTAACTAATGCTCCGCACTTCTTTGATAGATCTCCTCCAAGATGGCCCCACGAAGCGCCCAGGAGGCCCCAAGAGGTCCCAGGATGGCCCCAAGATGGCCCCAAGAGGCCCCCGAGAGGCCCCCAGGAGGCCCCCAAAAGACCCCCAAGAGGCCCCAAGAGACCCCCCAGAGGCACCCAAGATGCTCCAAGAGGCCTCCGCGAGAATACCAAAACGACCTCGGCGAGGAAGCCAAAATCATTGGTTGCACTAAGGTTTTGGCCCCATGTTGGCCTCCTGGGGGGGGACGCTAATTAATGCTCCCCTCTTGTTTGATCGATCTCCTCCAAGATGGCCCCAAGAAGCGCCAAGGAGGTCCCAAGAGGTTCCAGGATGGCCCCAAGATGGCCCCAAGAGGCCCCCAAGAGGCCCCCAGGAGGCCCCCAAGAGATCCCCCAAAGACCCCAAGAGACCCCCCAGAGGCACCCAAGCTGCTCCAAGAGGCCTCGGCGAGAATGCCAAAACGGCCTCGGCGAGGAAGCCAACATCATATTGGTTTCACTAAGGTGATGGCTCCATTTTGGCCTCCTGGGGGGGACGCTAATCTTGTTTGATCGATCTCCTCCAAGATGGCCCCAAGAAGCGCCCAGAAGGCCTCAAGAGGTCCCAAGATGGCCCCAAGATGGCCCCAAGATGGCCCCAAGAGGCCCCCAAGAGGCCCCCAGGAGGCCCCCAAGAGACCCCCAAGAGGCCCCAAGAGACCCCCCAGAGGCACTCCAAGAGGCCTCGGCCAGAATGCCAAATCATTGATTTCACGAAGGTTTTAGCCACATGTTGGCCTCTTGGGGGGAACACTGATTAAGATGCCTCCAAGAGCGCCTGGGAGAGTCCAAGATGACCTCCAAGATGGCTCTAGATATCCCAAGATGTCTCATAATGGCTTCCTCTGTGTGCTGCCCGCTTCCCTGATCCAGGCACTTCCTCTGGTCATCGTTTCTGGATGGGCTGGTGGGGATTCGCGAAGCGTCAACACTTCCCCGGCCACCGCGAGGCAGAGGAAGCAAGCAAATCTGCGACCCCCATCCTCAAAACTTGAAAGCCCCCCTCCTCTCCGCCGTCCTCCCCCTCCCTACCCCCCCTCCTCCAAATCCTCATCCCTCTCCCGACCACACTATCAATGGCCAGAAGAATTCCGTCTGCCTTTGGGTTTATCCAGGCATGTCCGTCTCTGGCGACTTGCCCAGTACCTTCTCGCGGCGCTTGGGGAACGAAGTGAAATCTGCACATCATCGTGCTGCCCGTGACGTCGACGAAAAATAGCAAAGAGCTGGTTTTGTTATATAGCCCGCGGAGCGGGAGCTCATCTCAGGAAGTGCTCAGGTTGCTGCTTTCAGTCTACTGCGCGGTTTTGAACTTGCTGCACACTCGGGGTACCCTCCGGGATATCCACAAGGCTTTACGCCACTTGATTTGATGTAGTCATTCGCTGAATGTTCCTCCTTCGCCCCGGAGCTTTTGCTCGTGGTCTCCATCGGGGTTCTGCTCCCCATCCTGTATAACATCGGGTTTCTGCAACCTGCATGTGCTCAAAACGTGTTCCACGGTATGACAGCGAAGAAGAATATGCCTTCGGCCAGCAGCGGAAAAGGGGCACGTTGACATTACTTCCCGCCCGTGCAAAACAGATTCGGTGAAAGTAGTAGGACGCGGCTGAATTAGATCGGGAGCTTAGGTCGCCGACTTTCGTAAATCCGAAAAGTTGATCGGCCCGCTCACACTCTTATTTCCCGTCGCAAACTTCGGCATGTGAATGGAATGTTTCTCGCCTTCGGGCGCCCCGCAAAAAAAACGTGTTGACCTCGTAGTGCGACAATCAGCTCAAATCCGCTGACGTTTATCCGTGTAGGGTCCATAGACATGGCGATTTGTCCGCATCGACTGTACTTCGATCTATCGTCGAGAAGTGCGTCGTCGTAGGCGCACCACAACCACTTGAAACACGTATTGAATCACACGGCTTTGGGATGCAGTCCTCGTGCGATTGGTATGAGCCTTCCGACGAAGTCTTCGCCCCCGTATGTCCAGAAATACCGAGCGATCCCTGGCTGCGGAATTTGATCCAAGCTACGATGCATGAACACATGTACCTCTGACTAAGATTACAAAATTTTACTCCTCCCTCCCACTTCGCTGATGACAGCCTGACATATATCATAAAGACAATCAACTCACATACCTTCTCTATCTCACTCTGGCCTGTCGGTTGGACGAGATGGGATGTTTCTTGTCGAATATAACATGACAAAATCAACCATGCATTGGGCGACGCCAAGCGCCATCCAATCCGTGCGGTCTCCTCATGTATGACATCTGGAGATGAGGTTCAACGAGTACCGAGCCAATATTTTCATCGCCGCAAATATGCGACAGTTTCTGCCAATCCCCCCCAGTATACCTCAAGCGATCAACAGTGATAAGGTCATCGGATATGTAGGGGCACTTCGTCTTGTTATACCGAAGTGTAAAATCAACTTGGCAGCGCTTCGCGCGCTCTGCATATGTCGAACCACCAGAAGCATTCTCTAGAACAGCTACATGGAATATCAGATGTCCTACGATATGGCTCGCGACACCAAAATCACATGCGCGAAGCACGTCCACGGTGACGCAACCCAGCCTGAGGCCCAGTGCGCCTTGAGAAAAGGCTGGCACCGCACGTTTTTTCCTGTGTCGGCCTCAAATGTACGCTTCATGGGTCCATTTTTTGCAACAGAACCCAGTTCCTATCGAGACGCGCTTTGCCTCTACTCAAACAAGTGACATGTATACGATTTCCACAACCTCAGCCACCATGCGATTCAAACACTCGCTGAGCAAACCAGGAGCACCGCAACAGCCGACCTGTGACAGGCAAACTCATGAAGTGAACCGTGGCCTGAAAGAGAGACCGATCACGCTAATAGCAACGTATTTTTCCCACCCCGTGCGCCGGCCGCAGGCCACAGGAGACGAAGAGCAAAACTGGGTTGCTAGCCAAGCGGCCGCGGCTGGACGCCGGCCGCGGAGGAGGAGGAGGAGGAGGAGGAGGAAAAGGGGGAGGAGAGAAAACGAAGCAAGAGCGGTGCCACAAGGAGCCGCAAGCCCACCGCTGCGCGCGATGGGGACCTGGGCGCGCCCAACCTTGCGCTCCAACCGGGCACGGTTGTCAACGAGGGGCCCCCGCCCCAGAATGTTGCAATAACCATCTAACGAACTAGCATGCACTGTCACATTCAACAAAAGAAGCAAGGTGATGATATATAGATTAGACAAGCTATACCACGCAAGCTGCGTCAACTCACAACGTCGACGAGGCGCTGTGTGACCGACCCATCTGGAATCGATCACGCTGGCGCTGGACGAATGTCCGCAGACACCGTTCCGGCAATACTGCTCCACCGCATCTCGCGCTAGCTCCGGGGTGACTCTGCCCTGCGCGCGGAAGGCGTTGGTGGCGCAGTAGGCGGCATATATCAAAACCGCAGTGCAGATAATTTCCTCGCCGTTCGCGACCGAAGTGGCCAGCGGAAAAGACCCCTTCCCCGAAACCAGGGCTCCGAAGTGCGTGAGCGCCACGAGCTCGATGGACGGGCCGTGGAAGTGGCGCTCGAGACCGCCTTCGGCCTGCCCGCCGCGCCCGAGTGCGCAGCAGCTGCAAGCGCGATGCCCCCGTGGAAAACGCCGTGCGGTAGTCCACCTGCTCCATATTCGGGGATGGACAGACCTCCCTTTAGCAAAACGTGGTTTAGTGAAAACGACCTGAGGCCCAAACCTGGCGGGCGCAAGCCTGGAAATTAACGGCCGCGGCGCCCTCTCGAGAACGGAAAACTGACAATTCACTACTCGACGTGTCACTGTTGGGGGTTCTGTCCACCCCCGACATATATGTGTTCGGACACGCGGCCCGGACTCCGGGGGTCAGCCCGGGGTCAGCCCGGGGCCACTCCGGGGTCAGGAGGAGGAGGAGGAGGAGGAAGAGGAGGAGG